GCGCGGCCGCGGCCGTGTCGCAGCGCACTGCTGCCCTCCAGCGCCCGGCCTGCGCACCGCAGAGGACATCCTGGGAACGATCAAAGAAACACCAAAAAAACCCAAAACAAACCCAACAAAAACACAAAATAAACCAAAACAAACGTAAAAAAAACCCTCCTCCTATGGAATAACACATACCTCGACACTCCAAAAGAATTAAGTCAGAAACATAAGGCCTCCAAACCTCGAAAATGCCAGAATTAAAGCAAAGACCAAAAACATAGTATGCACCATTTGAATATAATTATGACAGTCTCTAATTCCATGGATTTTGTAGTTTTTCTCTGCTATCTAGACTTCTCCCCGTTTCCTACCTGGGACAAGCAGCCCCCTGAGGAGAAACTACACACCAAGGAAGCTTTGCTCCACAAGATACCTTTTTAACTTGGGGTACCTTGCAAGCAAAGGTATCAGGATTAGAGAAGATTACAGGAAGAGAAGCTGCAATCTCATTGTTACATCAGCTAAATACTGTCACATTTCTCTTAGTAACCAGTATCATATTGGTACATCAAACTTCTGTGAGGTTGTTTCAGGTTCCTCCTTTGCCATTCATGTATTCAAATGCCATGAATAAGCATGGRGATCTTCCCTGGCACAAACACCAGCTGCATGGAGCAGACACTTCCAGCTGTTTAAACACTCTTACTCACCTTGGAATGGAGACTGCTAAGAGCAATCCATGCCCTGTCATAACTTACAGCTGTTTGATAAAGCACACATTGTCATGGCCAAAATCATGCCAGGGACTGTTCTAATTATCCTAAAGTACAAACACTGAAATTCCAGGGCCCAAAAGCGTCCTCTGATAGATGCTTCACTAAAACACAGATACACCCGACCATATTTCCTAATAAGCGTTTTTAATTGTTCTTTTTCTCTACAATATTCTCARTATGTTGCATTAGTAGATGTTAATCTTAGAGGATGTTAATCTCCTTAAAACCTCACAGGGACACTGTAAAAAACGAACTACTGTTATGTTTGTGTAACAAAAATAAACATAATTACCATGGAAAAAAAGCCATCAGAAAATTTAAATTCTTTAAATCTGACAGCAGGGACAATGAAGGAATAAAAAAAAAATCAATAATGTGGACTCATCCAATATTTATAAACAGGAATCCCACAGAGAAAGGGAAAAAAAAGCCCTCACATGGTTATGCAATTAAAGACTAATTCATATGTGAATTCACAACCTGAGTTCATTTGATTCTARGTTTTGATGTAAAAGCATTTCCATTTTTTACCTTTTAAATGGATTCTTTGGCTACACATATATTCATAAGAATGGCACCAGAACAACTTTTTGGTGTCCCACAGTAAATCATCATTTCAAGTCTGTGTATAGTATCATACTAGTTTTGGCCCATAGTTCAAGGAGTCCTTACTTTGAGATTTTACAGAAAAGAGTAAAAGCTTCAGTCTGAAGTTACAAACCAAGGATAGAAACAAAAACTTGTATTTCAGGAAAAAAAATACTTTAAAAACTTCATCTACATTCACCACCACACAGAAAAATATGTACAAAAAGAACAGCAGCAGAACAATTAAGTTGTGTGTGCCACCAATCCTAACAAATCCATACATTCATGAGCATTATACCAGTGAGTTCAGTTTATTTATTTAGAGATGGCTGCACTTGGAAGGAATTTCCCTGAGGAAATGTGCTATTCCTATCATCCCTTTTTAACCCAGCATTAATCCTCAGGACATGTAGGCAGGCTTTGATCATTCATAGCTCCTAGAAGAGGGGTGACAATCACATTTTGAATTTGCAGCAAGTTTCTGTCAGGAAATATACAAGATAAAAGCAACAAAAACAGGTCACCTAAAGGATCTGGAGAAAGAAAAAGGGTGGGGAGGTAAAATGCTGCTAGCCAAGTAGTAGAACTGTATCTTTTTAGTAAACAGTAARACTAAAAGAAAAATACTGTAAGTTGCTTTCTGTTCAGACTTTATTGCACARMTCAGTAACTCTATCTTAAAAGTCTCCTTAAATCTTATGAAAAAAAAAAGACATTTTCATTTAAGAAATAATTCTGTGTGTATCACATTTTATGCGATAAATAAAAGTGAAAGCATGAAAAGCTTGCATGTGGATAAGAATGAGATAAAACCTCTAAGGTTATTGTAGTACAGATGGTCTTTGTYCTCTTCTTAAAAAGGGCACAGAACAGTTAGGTTCTGGTCCACAGAGATAGGTTCTGACACCCTGTGGTAACCCAAATGATAGTAATACTTGAATGCAARTTATGAAAATATTAACAAAGAAAGAAATTAAGAAACACCACACAGCTGTTTTCATTAAACTAAGAGTTTGGTAAGCAGCTACTCTAAGACAGTGTGTGTAAATGCTAGGGGAAAAAAGACATTTTGGGCAAGAGAACAAATTTCTCTCTTCTTCTGACTTCTTTTTTTTGCTAAAAATCCCACTTAGGTATGTAATTTAAGAAAAAAAATTTTTTCTGAACTTGTATTACAGTTAACACCCAAAAGCCTTCTTTCATTGTCTCAATACAAATCTGATATTGATTTTTATGCCATGCTCAGAAAACAAATGAATTATTTTATGCCTGTTGTTCTTTTCATAAATTTAATTATGAATTACAAACAATAATCTTATGCAGTTCACCTTACCTGTAAATGCCTTGGGCTTTACAATGACTGAATCAGGTCCACTGGAGAGTATCGGCCTTTTGATATTCACATCACTTGAACAAAAAATGAACATAGCAATATTTGTAAAATTTACTGTAAAAYTTGAAGGTATTATCAATTTCTTTTTTTAATCCACTTCAAATAAGTACACAGTTCTACRAGTTTTTTACTTAAGTTTACTCTACTTCCTATAGCTGAATTCATTCCGCATTAACTTCCTCACTATTCTGAATCCAAATTCAAAATTYCATGGCACTGACACAAATCTTGTGCACACTTGCACTGACACAAATCTCCAGATAGCAGGCAAGCTGTCAGAGGTCTGCAAGAAGCTTTCAGAGATTTGCCACAAAAATGTTCCCAGCTTGCAGAACATGTGGAGACAAACCACTGTAAGGGTAGTGGCTGCAGCAGCAGCTCTCAGTAGATTAATACTAAACTCTTTGCCACTGTTTTGAAAAGAATCCTTGTCTATTTTTTTTCTCCATTTAAGAAATAAATTATTTRGAATTTCTATAAGACACGTCTGTCAAGGATCTCAGAGCTGAATGAAACAMACCAACAAATAAACAATCAAAACAAAACCAAGAAAAAGACCTTTCCCATTCCCATATGGAAACATGACCAATAAATTGTGTGGGCTGTATTTTACAAGTGAACTGCCAGAGAAAGTCAGAAGATGCACTTACAAACTTGATAAGGAAGAGCTAAATAAAAAAATCCTCTGATGCTTTTTATTTCAGGTCTTGGTAATGAACATGCACACATACTTGACTAATTATACTATTTGGAGCGGCTGCTCTAAAATCTTTCCCAGTTTAGGCCTCAAGTGAACATCCTGCCAAAAGACTTTCCTTCAMCATCTTTGCTGGAGAGCAAGGCAGTAGCCTACAACTACAACTCAGATACTACACAGTAACTAACTTTATCTAGATTCAGCTGTGTAATTTCATACAGAAGCAGTTCTGTCACACCCAGGCACTAAGAGATGGTTTCGCTTTTTTTTTTAACGCTGAATGCAGAAACAAAATATGGCTATGAAACTAATTTAATCTGACACTTGAAATAAAATGCACAGATCATTTCCACTTGCATGGGTGTTGTTCAGCAATTTGTTCTAGGAGRTGCTTTTTTTATGACTGACTTAAAACTATTTCTAAGGTTTGAAAGCCATATTGAGCAACAGGGAACATATTGCATTACATTTAAGACGACTTGATGAGGACAAAAGCAACTGGTAATTTCTGTGAAAATAAAACTAAAACCTGGAYCTTTTTTAGGTAGTTTAGATTTGGCCAAAAATACTTCTCAAAGCATTGTTACTGATATTGCAAGTGCAGGYATGGAAACAGAAAATAAGGAAACAGTCCCCCAAACCACCACCAGATTTAGACAGCATGCTCTCGTGAAATTCAGCAGGGTTGAATTCAAAGCACAGAAGGAGCACATGCCAAGTTTCTTTAAGATTGCTGTCTAAGATTCATGCACAGCTGAATAGAAGGGAAGAGCTATTCAACAATTAACATCAAACACCTGGTCCTGCAGATACACTCCAACTCTAAAGCAATGTGTCAAATTTAACCAATAGGCTAAAATTYGTATTWAAAAAMCCCAAACAAAACAACTTGACTGAGTATATATAAATTGAACGTACAAACCTTTGGAAAAAGAGGCTTTCCTCGTGTGTCAGAAGACCTTTCAGATATCCACCTTTGGCATGGCTGATTCGGCTGGCACAGGACAGTTTTCGAGGCTTGTAACAGAACCATGGCTCACCCGTGTGGAGATCTGTGAAGTTACACACTGGGAGACCTCCAGGCAAGCAGACATTGCACTCGGTAGTCTCTGAATACCTCCCAGACTTGAAGGAGCTCTTGAAATAAACTCTGTCCGGCCTTTCCTCTCGTAAACGCAAGAGGACTTGGATTGCTTCGCTCGGGTGGACAAGWGACACAGAAACTTTAACCTCTCCTGGCCAAAGCAAGGTAAAGAAGACTTTGTAAAGGCCATTTTGGCAATCTACAATCCTTCCCGCTGCTCCAGCTTTCAGCACAGGAGAGTGAATTCGTGCCTGCAAATAGTCTCCACCATACTGCTTGGGKTTTCCTTGGAAATCCCTCATACGAACAAGCACCTCTAACTGATCACCCACCTTGAAGAACCTGCTGGGTTTCACAATGACAAAGTCACTCTGTGCTGGATCAGTGCTTTGTTCAAAGGYGATTTTGCCATCAGGGGGTTTTGGCCACTGTATTCCAGCAAGCAAGGATTCCTGCTCCACTTGTTCCCTCTTGGACAAGGTCTGCTGCGTGTACCCACAGTAAGGCTTYCTGGTAGTTTTGGTTGTCTGTGACAGAGAATGCTGGACGTTGTTTTCTGTTATCCAATTTGATCCTGAAACTGTGTCATCATCCAGGTGCTGGGGAGAAAAAGATTACCTGAAGCTGTGCTATGAAATGAAACACTGTGAATAATGGATGCTTTGTCAGGAAACATCCCAAGAACTGGGMTTTGCTTTACAGAGCTTTGAAGCTGACCAAATGAAGCAACTTCACAATCTATCACTTGGACCATGGAATTTTTAAAGGAACAGGTGGGCAACCTGTGGTTACCCTACTTTGGCAAACAAGCTTTTAAATAGGTCACATCCAATGCACGCCAGTATTTCACGGTATATTCTCTAAATATCAGCATTATGAAAAAAAAAATATAAAAGGTTGGATGAGTAAATTGTAAATCATAACTTGTGTTTTATTTTCTTCTGCAGCAATGTTTTAGTCTTGAAGCACCATGGGGTCTAATAGCTGCCCAATGTAATGCAAAGAAATAGAGTTTCTTGAGATGCAGATGCAGCTGATGCACCCCCTGCACATGCCTTCTAGAGAAGTCTGCTGCATGTAGCAGCTGCAGTCATTTATCTGGTCACACTCACATTGCTTCTTAGCTAATTATCCAAAATGCATGCTTCCCTGTATTGTGCAGATTGAAAGAAATAAAAGGAAAAAACCAMCAGATCCTTCTGGGACAATGAATTCATGAGCTAGTTGGCAAGTAGAATTGTATAGGACATGCTAGGACTAAACAGGGAAAAAAACCCAGATTGTTTATTTATAGATTTTAAAATCTATTTACAGCTGCTTCCAGCACCAAATGAAACAGCAAGCAAAGCATTCCTACTCCACACAAGAGTTCAAAAATCAAAACAGTTAAATACAATGCTAGACTAAGAGAGGGGGCTTCTGCTGTCACTTCACATMAGTGTCCAAAACTGTATTTTCATGCAAATGACTGCAGATACCRTCTTCCTTATGACATCACATAATTTTGCAGGTTTGCATTAGGAATTTTTTTAAAATAGCACAATCTAAGGCTCCCGAGCTACCCATGAGAATTCTAATCAGCAAATTCAAACATACCTTTCACATACACACAAAATCAGCAGTTAATGAGTAATTAATTATGACGTATATATAGTAGAACTTTTGCATACTTCTATTCCATAAAGAAGGAAAACTGTTTTTCAAGCAAAGATTAAACTTATACAGTGTACAATTCACACAGCATCAGATGAYGGGCTAGTTTAGATTTGAAATATTGCTAAAAAATTCCAACAATGTTATTTGAAATATTTTAAAATATCATTGTACTTACCAATACCCCAGTGTTTYCCATTTACCTCCTCCAAAACTAACTGCTCAGTAATGTACTAAAAGTCACAGCACTCATATTAAAGCCTTATTCACTGTTATAAACATTTTTTTTGTCCATGGAAATATCACCAGTGTTTTAAAATTATTTGAACCAYATTGAGATTCAACATACTTTTTTAGAAGGTAAACCTAACAAGCAATAGAAACAAATAGGTTTTTTAAGTCTGTGACAGATTAAGTTTGGTTTGATCAGCTTAAGAGTAAGAGCATGAGCTCGCATGAGCTCATTAGGATGTAGGATGGATACACAAAATCTTCTTTGTTTGATATCCAAGTTAACAATAAAAAATGAAACTGTAAATTGCTACAYTGTAACCCTAGAATGTAAATGGACACATACCCATCTATACACCAAATGTTAACATCACAACAGAAGCTTTTGCTTCTGTTTTATATTCCCACCCAGCATTTAATAAACTTTCCCCATAGGCCACCTGAAATAATTCATAATTATTTTTGTTTTCCATCACAGCAAGCAAAGCTGCAGRTGGACTGCACATTACTTTCATTAGTCCAGTAAATTTCAGCCAAAGCTGAGAGTGAATCTCAGGCACAGTTCTACTTTAAATCTTGCCTACATGCATCCTTGAATTAAGCCAMGTTTCTATTTTTGGATACCTTCACAACTTTTTGCCTTCAGTTGCTCATACATATATACATAACACAGAAAATACTGCATGGAAATATTTTTAAAAATTAGCTACACATTTTGATGCACCCAATAAGCTGGTACAATGTCTCAGCAAAAATATTTAAGCATTTTCCAAAAGAGGGTTGGAAAGGGAGAATATGTGTGYACAATTAATTGCTGTTTTCAGTCTAAGTTCCCAAGGGAAAGTTTCTATATTTCAGTTGCCTCCTCAATGGCCGGTACTTTGGGTTGAGGGACATGGGAAAAAGAAATCCTTTCAAATTAAGAAGAGATGGCTATCTGTGGCACTATCTAAGCTTAAAAAACTGATGTATCCCTATTTTTAATCTTCTATAAATTTCCTCAGGGYTTTTAACCTAGTCTTTCTGTCACAGATTAGAAGATGCCATTCCCAGCCTAGCTAGGCTTTCTAAGTCTCTCCAGAGGCATACATATATCTTTCAGTGGGAAAAGGTGCAGAGAACACCAAGCCAACAAACTTACTCAGAAAATAGAGTATGGTTTGATAACTCCAAATCAGTCCACCTACACAGATTTTCAGCAAAGCACAAGGCCAARGCTCTTCACTTGTATGCAGCTGAGAACAAGGACGAGCACTGACTGTCACTTCAAAATCTCCAGGTTAAAGTCATCATCATGACCCACTAAGAAGAATAGATCAAATTTTTGATCCACAAATATMTCCTCAGTCTTTCTTCAAAGGGCCTGAGGAGGACTCTCCATGAAGGTRAAAGGCATCCTCAAGGACCATTCCTCCTCCATCATCTTTGCTCATYTTTACAGCCCTCTCTCAAGCCCAACCAGGACCACATATTGTTGCAGAATTATAAGCTTATGTGAGAAAATAAGTTATACCATGTACACTATTCACAGTAGAAAATATTGCAGAGATTCCCTTTGCCAGGAAAGACAGAAAAAGCTTCAGAGGCAATTAATATACCAAAGATCCTTGACTGGAATAGAAAAACTTTCCAAATCTTTCTTTTCCAAACCTCTTCCTTTCTTAAGTGTTTCCCAGGCTCAGCTCCAAACAACTGTTTAAGCTCTCCTGCCCCTATGGACACACAAGGCCTCTCCTGAGGCAAATAATTTGCTTWGTTTATCCCCACTCCATTTCCTACTCCCTCTTGGCATTTCTAAGTATCTCCTTGGTGTTGTATTGAGACTGTGCAGAACTGGGGGCTTTCTACTGAAGTTAGTAGCCAAAACTAAATAAAGTTCCTTTATTAAAAACAGATAAWGAGGATTTTTCAAGGTGCTCTTCCTTTATGACACAGATTCTTTTAGTGTTCATTACAGGCTCCATGTTGAATAACACCTGCTTTGCTTATATCCATGTATCCTCCATTCAAGGTGTCATGTATTTTATGTGCAATTCCAAGGGACTACATTTGTTTGTTTGTTGGGTTTGAGGATTTTTTGTTTGAGTAGGAGGAGTTTGATTTTTTTGCTTTGTTGGTTTTTTTTTCTATTTTTTTTTATTTACTGCATTTTGAARCTAACCAGAACCCAAATGTGACCACAAAGTAATTTAATGGATATCTGGCAAGTAACAYAGGCAGGAAAGAACAGAATATTTGTCAGTTAAGCACAAATAAATCCCCTAGCAATTCCTGCATTAGAGGTGTCATAAAAAGGGGAAAAGGAAAGTATRTTTTTATGAGAACTAATGGAAGTTCACATCTCAACTCCTCAGCTTTTGGCATTCTCACTGCCAACTAAGCAAAAATTAGATACAACATATAGATCAATCCAGGCAATAATGCTCTCAAAGATATTCTAGAAGGGTCACAGAGTACTTGGGAAGATCCACAATGAGCACTTGTCCTCAGGTAAACAGCACAATGTAGGTGGCTGACAGAAATGTTGAGTATTTCTGTTGCTGCTGAAAAGGGGGAACTCCAACTCAAAGCCCTGCATCTTCCACCAACTGTTAACTCCTGCCCTGGCCTGGTACATTCTGAACAGGTGCTGCAAACCTTTATAAGTCAYTGTCACTAAAGCAGGAAACAACACAAGAGATATTCCCAGGCAACAGGCATGGTGGGAAAAAAAAAAGTTCCAGCAGWCAACATCARAAACTGAACAAATAYCAATTCCTGAAAGGTTGGTGATCTTATTTTCAGTAATTTTACACTCCGGGTAGTTTATTTGATGTCTACGACAGATAGGAGATCAGTTCTCTATCATTACCATCTCACAGCACTGAGTGGCTGCTAAACTACTCTAAGTGCCAGAGCCAATCCAAAAAAGCCATCACCTGACAGACAAATGTTCCAGAAATAATTGGAATAAGATAAAATTATCTTCTGTAGGCATCTRCAATTTAGAAGCAAGAATTCAAAACTTTGTTACACAGTTCTTTTGTTTAGTTTCAGCGGTCTGATTTCATTTACCATCCTGGCAAGAAACTTCCCTTCTCACATACACTGTCTCTTCAAGGTGCTTTTAAATAAAAGAGTGCTCAYAATCAATCCTGAAGTGGTTCTGTCACTCTAAAGGCCACAGGTACAAWCTCTCCTGTATCCTGAAGGCATGATGTTCGGGCACCACCCCGATACTTCACAAAAAAATTACTGCACATTTTATCTGTCTGGCTATGTTCACAGGAAAAAAATTATACAAAAATAAAGACACATTTCTTCTGGTACTATGGGATCAACTATGTGACCTCAAAGGAGTAGTCATTCTGTACTAAAATGCAAAGTAAATAATAAGCTAACTATCAAATGTTTTGTGGGCAGCTTGTTTGTTTGCTTGAGRTTTTTTTAAACACAAGATAAAGCAAGTAAAATTCTGATATGGGTAGGACTACTGAGAGGATATTATTAGTAGCTTAAGAAATTAAGAGGGGACATTTCAACATGAAAATCCTAAAGAGAAMAAGAAGGGAGACTAAATGGGAGAGTAACTAACAATTGCCTCAGATCCTGAGCTTTAGCCAGCTAGGTTGGATGATTTGGGAATGAGAAGTATGTCCGATGCATTTACAAATACGTTTTCAACAGTAACCAACAAAAGTTTTCCTTCCAGAGCCTGAACAGATTTGGTTACAGATATTCTGTGAAAGCTTTGTAAGACTTTTTCTGACTTTGATCTCTGACTGAAAAGAATCAGCATAAATGCCTATACTAGAGTGCCTGGAAAACTGAGCTGAGATACAGACAAATTCCGGAGCAGGTCTATTCAGAAAAGTTAACACAATAGAAAGGGTTAGAATTGCATGTTATAATGTAAGTATTTACCAGCAACACAATGCTTAACTGAGTTTAGAACAGCAGATATGCAAAAGGCAATGAAGTCATARAGACACTTATCATGGACAGTGGCAAGAAAAAGCACAGAGTGAACATCCAACCTGCATTTTCCATTTCACTCTGAAAGCACTGCCAAGAGCCCTTTTCTCTAAGAAACATAATCTTAAAATAGAAATAAAACAGTTTAAGATTCTAAATATCAGCACTCCTCAGGCAACATCCTAGGTCAAAAACCAAAACAAAATARAACCATAGAAGGAGAAAACAAAAGCTACCTCCTATGTAACACAAAATGGATCATGTTAACTGGAACCAAAAGTCAAACAGTAATTTTGATTGCCAATAGTTTCCAAAGCAGGTATGAGGGAAAAGAAAACAGACAAAAATTGTTGCGCTATTTTCCTCCTGTAGACTTAACAGTTTCTAGCACTTTATGGTTTACACTTCTAAAACACTAAGGTAGACATCTTTAAGATGTAGTATCCTATAAAGGATTTTTTTTCTGTGCATTCATCCAGATTGTTTGAATACATGCATTTAGTAACTACAGTCTTACTGCAAGGACCTCTGCAGCTTTGCTGCAATCCATAAAAAAAAAAAAAATCCTGCTTCCTTTAAAATCAGCATCTGCAGTTTTTATATAATGTGTCCACGAGTACTGGAATAGGCAAYGAGCACTAATTGCTCAGCTATTGATCCTGAGTCACTTGTGATTTTAGACTTCTCTAACATCTTCCTTACCCTTATGTCATCCTCTTCCAATTCAGCTGTATTTTTTGTGGGCTGGGGTGGTTTTCAGCCCCTCTTTKGGATCATTTCATTTGGGCATCACTAGCCAGGAGGAAGGAAGATTCTGCAAGCAGCATACACATAGCTCAGAAGCATAAAGCAATTACTGACTGGCTCCCATGCACAAAGGATGGCTATAATTTAACGAGGTGTCAGGCTAAGCATTACAATGCTCATCCTCCAAATGCAGCAGTGGACTGCCTGGCCAGGCAGGCAGCCAACAGGCAGGGTCGGCCTCCAGGGTTCCCTCAGACAGATCCTTACCTGCCTTGACTTTAATCTGGGGTTACTGACTAAGCAGATTGAAAGGAGCTCTGCTTTTCACTAAAGTGATAAGTAAAATGAAAAATCCAAGTCAGACACAGCAGAGGGAGAAATGGAAAGGCAAATTAAAATTGCATCAGTACAGGATGAACAAGTAATTAACAGCTCTCCAGAAAAAGACCCWGAGATTCCAGGAGACAGCAAACTCACCATGTGTCAGCAGCACAGCACTGTGRCAAGGAATTAAGAAGATCCTAACCAGCTGACTGAGCCAAGTTATAGTTCTCTTCAACTTCCCCATGGTAAAGTCATATCTAGAACATTGWGTCTGKTTTTTGAACAACCCACRCCAGAGTAAAACTGGAGACACCAGMTAAGAACYCCRGGGATGATGAGGGAACTGGAGTGACACTACGGGAATCCAAACTTCTTTTTTTAAATCTGGAGAAGACCTAACTGCAGTCTTTCAGCACCTACAGGGGAGTTACAGAAGAGCTGAAATTAAACTAACAGGATAAGAGTTAACTTCTTATTACACATGAGACAAACATTCTTCCCTCTAAGAGAGATGTGGCACTGCAACAGGCTACCTAGGTAGGCTGTGAAATCTGAGTGACCTTGGATACTGTCAAAAGTCAAAATACTGCAAAATACTCCTGCAATCCAAGCTAACTCTGACACCAGCCCTTTGAGGAAGGTTTAGGATTAAACGTCTCCAGACACCCTTCCACTATGAATTTTCTGTGATTCCAATTTATAGCTAAATTCTGTCAGTCAGACACAATTCTAATCCTACATTCAAAAATTAATTATGTTGCCATCTTGGAGAAGAAACAGGCTCCACTTACCTCTAACTGAAAAAAATTATGGACCAGCACCACAACAGCCAGTACTGCCATAAGCAGGCAGAAGAGCTGCAGTCTGAAGGAGTCACGCCACATGGTCCATTCGTGTCTTTCCCTCCCATGTTAGACATTGCCATGACTTCCATTCACCACAAACATGAATGGCATTTCGTCTCAGCAGAGCACGAGAGAATTCAGTTGACTTCCACTTCATTCCTGCAAGTGCATTTACAAAAACTGTATTAAGTCTCCAAAATGTTAGCAGAACTAAAGTCAAGTTCAGCTGAAAACATACAAATGATGAAACTTGGCAGGGCTGTAACTAGTACTGTCAACAGAACTGTCAAACTGTCAACACAGATTCTTTTTGTGGGATTAATCTCAACAGCATTATCTATTATGTTACATAATTCTCTTGGACGTGGCAAAGCACCTTAGGTCTCCCCCCTARTTGCTACAAACAAAAGGCAAAAGAAGAGTGCAAAATTTCATTCTGGCAATCAAAAAACATAAATAACCACCACCCTGGTCATCTGTTAGGCCACACTATSACATTCCAAACATCACCAAACTGAGAGTTATAGCATCACCATCATCTCCAAATCACCATCATCTCCAAACTGAGACTTACAGCAGAAACTTGTGAGTTTAGACAACTCCCTTTACCTGTTTACACATTCCAATAAGTTGTTATGAAACGTCTGAAACAAGCTTGGATAAGCAAGGCAAAAGATACTTCCTCCAGTTTTCTGCTGGGGAAGAGTGGTAAAAAAAATCCACTGTAACATTAAAGAAGAGATATCCGAGAAAATTGAAAGCCCGAAAATWTAACTTCATGCATCATCTGTAACATTACATTATTTTACATCTTCCTTGTTTTGCTTTGTTTATCACTCCTTTCACCTCATGTACTCATATGCAGCTCTAAAAATAAAATAAAAAAAAAAGCCTTCTGGAAACAGTACAATGTGTTGGGTTTTGATGTTTCTGTGGGTTTTTTTTTTTTAAATCTAATAATAGTACTGCCTTCCATAAACTTTAACTTTCATAAAATCTTGCTCTTTTAAGGTTGCTTGATAGCTGACCTGCTATAAAATCACAGATTTAAGAGGCATTGATAAAGTTCTCACAGCTTATGGCTCTTAAACATTCTTTCTGAGAAGGACAATTTTGGTGCAGTCCTTTTGCAAGCAAAAAGGGTACTGTTCTTGCAGAAGCTCTAAACCTGGAAACAAAAAACAGATGGCAAGGCAAGACAGTCAAAAGACACCAGTCTCTCCAAACCTAATATTCTCAAAGCAGCATTACTCATACAACCATCCACCAAGTGCAACAACATTATCAAATGATTATATAAACTTTGTAGAACCTTCTACATATATAACTGAGAATTTATACTGTTCAGATAGTATAAATACATAGTACATACATACGCTGTTAAGACTATAGGAAAAATGCTACGTAAATTTAAATTAAACATAATGATACATTAAATATTAAAACTAATGAATTAAATTATTTATCAAATGAACATAGGCTAAAAAACTGAAGCACATTACTGGTATAACCAGGACAACCTCAAAATAGACCACACATCAAATTGCTTTACAAGGATTATAGGGATTATAACTTCAAATGCTTTGCTGAGAATTACAGAGATTGTATTTCTGATCAATGAACAAGCATTGAAAGAGCAAGACATCCATTAAAGTGAAAGTATCAAAATGTCACAAAAATGCAACCTTGTTGGAACAATTCTGTGCTAATATAAAGTATTAAATTTGCATAAAATAGCAGCTTGGGTTGTAAACAATAACTGATAAAAAATGTATCTAAACACATGCAAATGCTAATTTAAGGACATACACATCCATTAGAGGAACAGAAACAAATACATTAGATAAAACGCGAATTTTCAATTGTGTTGCTGAGAATTCTTTGCAAATCACAAAAAAGCACAAGACACTGAAAATTACATAAAATGTAATTTCAGATGCCTAAAAAAGGCCACAAAGGTTATTCCCATGTATTTTTAGTCTAAATATTCCATACTTCTGTAAATGCCACTTGCCCTAAAAGATTCGGTTTAGAGCTTTCTTTATACTAAAGGCTTAACATTCTGCCAGGTTCATCACCTTTGAACAATTGATGCCATTCATTTTTTCTATAAGGGAAGCCCACAAGTACACCAAAAAGCCTCAGGTTCTTACCCTACTCCTGAAACGTTCTCTGAATCCACACAAAAGGCCAGACAACCCTRGAAACAATACATTAAAAAAATAATAAAGCTATAGAAACACACACAAACTTTTTTATAAAATTCATACATTGGTGGTTTGCTTACAGTGGCACAAAATAAAACGGCAGTTACGACTTTTTACTTGCAAAATTACTTTTGTTTCTACAGTAATCCAGGGATGCTGTTAAAGTATTTTATTATTTTAAACTTCAATCGTATGCCTTTGAATTTTTTGCTATTTATTGCTAAGTATTACTTCTCTCCATCTTATCACAAGCCCCTTTTCACCCAAAAACAAAAATTTAATGACATTTTATGAACACGTCATTAAATTATGCCTCACGCTACATTTCGGGACTGTCGCTTTAGGTTTTTTTCACAGCTGTCTAAGCCAGCAGCAGTACAAGAGCAGGTACGAGCGCAACCGCTCCAAATTTTGTCATGCAAACTGCAAAGGGAGAGGAACCGCTCTGGCGATGCCCAAACCGTGTCACCGGGGCACAAGGGCTCGGGGTTGGATGCTCGCGTGGCTGCCAGCACGGAAAATCAGATTTGCTGCTGTTTTTCGCGGATTCCGCCCTGCTCCCCCGGAATTTCGCAGACTCCCCCAGCCCGCTGCCATCCCGGCGCTGCTCCACGGGCACCGACACGGKCAGGGACAGGGCAGCGAGCAGAAAGCATCGCCGCCGGTAATGCAAACCGCACAGTTGGGTTTTATCACCGCAAAGGTAGTTTTTAGCGTGCCGCGAGGAAGCATCCCCGGGGAGCGGCACCAGCGGCAGGAAGCCCCCTCAGCCCCGCCGCGCTGAAACCCGAGCGGCGCGGCCCTGCGGGTGGGCGGGCCCTGCCCCGGGGACGGGGATCCGAGCAAGGGATCCGAGCAGCGCACCCGCCACCCCCGAGACCCCTCACCCGCCCCGGGCCTCCCTCAGCGGATCCAGCCCCCTTGCCGTCCCGGCTGCCCCGCCAGGCTCTCCCCGCGTTCCCCAGCCGAGTCGCGCAGGCCGCGCCGCCCGCGCCCCCTCACCGCAGCCCCCGGCGCTCCCCCGGGCCAGGCGGCGGCCTCGCCCCCGGCCCGGAGGCGCTCGCTGTAAATGCTCGGCTGCCGCCGCCCCTCCCTCCTCCCGCCCCCGGTACGGCGGCGGCCGCCGCGCCACCTCCCGCCCCGCCCCGGCACCGCCTCCGGCCCCGCCGCTGCTGCTGCCGCATCCTCTGTGCASAGAAGGGACAGCGACGAGAAAAACAGACGCAAAACCCAACACAACAGACACCACCGTCTCTCTAATTTCTGAGCCACCGCATGTGAAGCCAAAGAAAGGCGGATGTGGGGAGGGCGGCGCGGAGCCGGGGCCTGTGGCCTGGGTGGCATTGCCGTGGATCCGCGGCACGGCCCCGGTCAGGAGAGAAGGGTCTGACACGGGCATAGCACAAAACGCTGTGCAGCCTGAAGCGAGGCGGCGTTTTGGACAGCGAGAAGGTTGTGAAAGGAGAGCCTGGCCACAAGAGCAGCTGCAGGGGCTGAGCGGGGCGACAGGCACAGCCCAGCACGGCAGAACCGGCCAGACGCAGCTGCAGTGAAGGCAGCAGCCCGGGTTGAGCTTTCTGCCCGCACCAGAGCCGGGTGGCACTTTCAATCTGCAGGACAGCTGCAGCTCGCTTCGTAAACACTTGTAAACATTGCATGCATTTGGAAATGCCAAAACACTCACCAGTGCCACCACTTCTTTGTATGAGTACAGGCTGAGGGCTTGAGCTTATTTTTACTAAGGAATAGGTGGGTTGCTTAAAACCAGAAACAAGACAAAGCAGCTGAAATATTCCTGTGAACACAATATTTTGGACATTATAAATACTGATTGCCTACTCTTGTCTTGTGCTGCCACCCTCATAAGCCACAGCTGTATTGAAGAAGTGAGCTTACCTCTATTTTTCTCTTCCTTTCTGCATCTTACAAGAGTGGTTACCTGGTAGAGTTAGAAAGCAAAATGTCAACAGGCATCTGCTTTTATTTGTRCTACACACTGCAGGGCAAGAATTCAAAACCATCTGGCTGTATAAGCAGAACACTTTAAGAAGACAGTATTTATTTTGAAAGATAGTTGGTTTTCTTTCTTTCCTCTCAGTATACAAAGTCTATCAGTTCTATAGCAGTTTCATTTCTCTTCACCATTCATGAGCCATGTAGTGCATCAAATTCCCCTATAAACTCTCCAGCTCAAAGGCAAATGTAAGGCAAAACTATCTAATTACTGTGCCAAATGCCAAGCATTATCCCATCTCTTAATAKATCTGAAGTCATGTTGGGGGTGAAGGTGCAGAATGTGACAACAGTGAGAAAACCTGTCACTTCTAAGAAAATAGGTACTATTATGCTATCTTCTGCCACACTTTACATTTCACCACCTCTCAGAGATAGGAAGGGATCCCCACACTACTTTTCTCCATAAATTCTTCAGTTATCACTGTAGTYAGCCTTGATGAAGGCCTAATAATGAATCAGTATGCTTTTCTAATCTCTAACATAATAAGTCCTTTTTGCATAAAGAGGCCATAAACTGATTACTGATTTTTTGCCCCCATGCTGTATAGAAAGCACCATGTAAAAGGCTATTTGACTGTAAGTTGAGTGTCAATGGCATTGGTGAAGTCTGTTCCATATGCAACATCTAAATGTCATTAGTCCCAAAAAAACTACAGCTTCAGCAGCTGTTGCTCACTTTACATCCCTCCTTGTTTATCACACCCAAAGCACTTGGCAATTATTTTGAGATGAGTACAGCAAACTAGACAATGAAAAAGAATCAGTCCTTCCTTATTTCTTTTTCCAGAATTATATGCAGTAAGATGAAGTCATGCTGGGCCCTTGGCCCCATTGCCCTTCTCTCCCTTGTCTGCAAAGGATAATCAATAAAACACAGTATATTTGATAATACATATGGGACTACTGAACCCCTTCCTGATTATAGGCAAGTGTTGGGGAATGTTTTGGTTTGCTCCTTAGACAAACKAAAATATGCTTTTGTTGAGAGCATGTATGATGAGATTTAACAAATAATGCATTGCAGTCTGCAAAGAGGACAACCTGCACTGTTCTCTTTCTATAGACATCTTTGATCTGGCTCCTTTTGCTACATTACCCTCATATCACTTTCCCAGTCTTTTTTCACTTCACAAAATCATCTGGTTTTGTCCTTCTGCAGCCTTTAGAACACTGAGTTTCACTCTCATCTTGCACACAAGTTCAGCATATCCCCTGGTTTCAGGCATAGCAGCAATTAAGGTCTATTTAACTGTTGGGAAAAGTCTTTTGCTGACCTGGTGCCACCCAGATGGTTTTCCCATCATCTAATGCTTGTAAAGGAATAAAACCTTTGCAGAAGAATCTTCTTCCAACTTCCTCAAGCCCTTWTCCAAAAGGTTACAGAGAAGCTTACCTACAGGCACCAAGCAGCCTTTCCACAAACCTCCATCAAGCAGCTGTGCTGCACTCCCACTCCAGGGACAAACTCCAGGAACACAACTTCCATTGGAGGTTAGGATTTGTCCTTTGGTTTTCTTTCTCTTAGGGAACTTAAGACACCAAAGACACTAAGCTAAGGTGGAGGGCAGGGTGCAGCTGGCTCCTGTCTTACCTGAGAGATCTGCCCAGAGTAGATCCTGCCAGTTKAACACTGACACTGCAACACCAAAGGAAGGGACCCATCAGGCAGCGAGGAATATGAGAAAGCAGGTGAGA